ACTAGTAAGTCTCTGATGTAGGATTTGCTTGGATAGGTAGGACTGAGTCATACAGAGAACTCTGTAACTCAATATAGGAAGCTTAGGCTTTGTAGGGACAGCTAGGTGACTCAGTGGACAGAGTGCTAGGCCTGGAGACAAAAAGAGCCATTTAAAGTTTTTAAGTAGGGGAGTAACCCAAGAGATCAGTGATGACTGGTGCTCCAGGTAACAAACAGGTCCAAAGGTTGAATTCATTTGTCACCTGCATTTTTCTTTCAGGAAAAAGGGCATTTAACATACTCCTGGGACAGAGATAATAAACCCTACCTTGTATTGGATGACCATTCTGATCATATACCTACCTGTCTTTTGTGAACTCCTTTGACCTGAGTTTGAGTTTCATGATTTGACCTCCTCTTCCAGTAGCCATTTTATTTCTAGGCTAGGTCTCAAGAGCCATAGAGCAACAACAACAACATTTGTATAGCACTTCAAGGTTTACAGTATACAGAATATATATTATCTCATTTGATCTACACTATAACCCTATGAAGTAGATGAGGAAACTGAGGCTGAGAGGGATTGAGTGACTTGCTCAGGGTCACACAACTAAGGAAATGTCTGAGGTGGGATTTGAAATCAGATATTTCTCTCTACAAATCCAGTACTCTAGGGGGAGCTAGGTGGCGCAGTGGATAGAGCACCGGCCTTGGATTCAGGAGGACCTGAGTTCAAATCCGACCTCAAACACATAATACTTCCTAGCTGTGTGACTCTGGGCAAGTCACTTAACCCCAACTGCCTCACTAAAAAAAAAAAATCCAGTACTCTATCTACTGCAAGATCCAGCTGCCTCATCAGAGCAGAAGGTCCCCAAGGGCCTACTTTAATTCTAATTAGCTCCATCCATCCCTTCATCCTCTGAGGAAAAGTTCTTGGGTATTTTTTAGGAGGGGAGGGTAAAAGTTCTGGGTCTGACTTGTTGATTGACTGATTGATTGATTCTCCCTGATGACCTGGAAAATAAAGTGTTGTAGATATGGGAAAAATGAGACATTAATGGTAGAGCTGTGAATTGATTCAACCATTCTTTAGAGCAATTTGGAACTATGCCTAAAAAGCTATAAAACCATGCATATACCCTTTGATCTATCAATACCATTACTGGGTCTGTATCCAAAAAGAGATTAAAAAAAAAAAGGAAAAAGACCTATATGTACAAAAATATTTATAGCAGCTCTTTTCTGGTGGCAAATTGGAATTGGAAATTGAGGGTATGTCCATCAATTGGGGAATGGCTGAACAAATTGTGCTATGTGATTGTGATGGAATACTACTGTGCTATAAGACATGATGAACAGCATACTCTCAGAAAAACCTGGAAAGACTTATATGAGCTGATGCAAAGTGAAATGTATTGTGTACAAAGTAACAGCAATACTGTAAGATGATTATCTGTGAATGACTTAGCTCTTCTCAGCAATACAGTGATCTAACACAACTCTGAAGGACTTATGATGAAAAATGCTATCAAACCCCAGAGAAAGAACTCATGGTGTCTGAATACAGATTGAAGCATACTTGTTTCACTTTAATTTTTTTTAAATTTTATTAATTTATTTTGATTTATCAACAATCACTTCCATATGCTTTTGAGTTGAAAATTTTTCTCCCCCTTTCTCCCCCCTACCCTCCCCAAGACGGCGCAAAATCTGATATAGGCTTTACATTTACATTCCTATTAAACATATTTTCACATTAGTGAAGTTGTAAGTAAAAATTAAAACCAATAGGAGGAACCATCAGAAAGATGAAACAAAACTCAACAGAAGGTAAAAATATCACTTTATTTTTCTTGAGGCTTTTTTTTTGGATCTATGTTTTCATTCACGATAAAAAAAAAAAAAGAAAGTCTTATTTGTTGCTACTCAGTCATGCCTGACTCTTCCTGACCCCTTTTGAGGTTTTCTTGGCAAAGATTCTGAAGTAGTTTGCCATTTCTTTCTCCAGCTCATTTGACAGAGGAGGAAACTGAGGCAAAAACAGGGTTAAAGTGACTTGCCAAGGGTCACACAGCTAGTAAGTGTCTGAGGACAGATTTGAACTCAGGAAGATGAGTTTTGCTAACTGCAGACCCTGGGCATGCTGTCCACTGCACCATCTAGGTACCCATCTCTCCCAAGTGGGAAACTAGGTTGCAATTTAAACATAATCTCTTGGCCATTACAAAATACAAAAACTAAGCAACTCGCTGTAAATAGATATTAGTATAGACTCTGAAATTCAACCAGCAGAGAGTCATACTTTTAAGGGAAATCTTGCCTCCCACAGTTTCCACTTTTAAAATGCAAATTCCCATGGGAGTAACAGCACAAGGAGCTCTCTACTCTGCCTCAAAGCCTTCTATCTCAAGGCCTGGTGAGCCCAAAACAACAGCACAGACCATAGGCTGATGATGGATAGGCCAACCTCCACGTGTGCAGCTCTCACATGGCTGGAGAGGGGAGCTAAGAATCCACGTGGCTGGAATTATCCTATCCTAACCAAGTTCTCTTAGTATACAGTAGAGATCCCATCCAATTCCCAGTCCTAATGACTGGCCTAAGCCCAGCTGGGGAGTGGGGGGTGGGAGGTGTGGCTCTGTTTTCTTTTAGCTCTTATTGACATAGAGAAAGACTGTCGCTGGCTGATCAGACTGAGTATTTTTAGAATCCTTATCCATAGATCTTTCAGAGAAAGCCAGAAATAAATGTTTGACTTTTCCTAAGAACAGTCAACATGTCTTTTTTACTTCATCAAACCCCCTCTAAGTGCAGATACTTACACACACACACACACACACACACACACACACACACACACAAACCTTGACTACACACAAAGTGGGCATCTCACCTCTCCATCCACACTGTGTACACATTACATACACAAAGTCACACACAGTTGTGGGGCCCCACAGACAGCGACACGCTGTCTTTTCTCGGGGCACAGCCTTAACACGCTGGCACGGAGATAGCTGATCTTTTGGTTGCAGAGAGCAGAGCTTTGATACGAGGCTAAGCTTTTCATTCAAAGAACATTTGGAGAGACACCTTGAGATCCTGGAAGACTTGGGGTCAAGCCTTGCCTTGAACACAAGCTGTGTGACTCGGGGCAAGTCAACCCCTCAGCTGCCCCTAGGCAACTTTCTAAGACTAAATAGCCGAGATGGTAGAGTCCTGCATCGATAGGGGGAGTTTTCTCTCAAGGGAGCCCTTTCCACCAGCGAAGTTGCAGGTCCATTCTCTATCTCTCAGCGCAGGGCATAGTGTTGGGCACTAAGATGAAAAGTAAAACAACCTCCACCCTCCGGGGCAATCTGTAGGGAGATGGGCAGAAATACAACTGCATATGATATGATACAAGGTAGAATGTGAGAAAGGCTGAGGAGATACGCAAAGTGCTAGAAAACTTTTAGGACTGAGACATTTTCAGCTGCAAAGCATTATGGAAGAGGTTGAATCTAAGCTGGGCTTTGAAAAAAGAGAAAGATTTCAATAGGTAAGGATTAGGAAGGAGTGCTTTTAGGTTTCTGAGAAGGATAAAATTCAACTCATGGAGGTAGGGAAAGGACAGGACAGAATGGTCTGGACTGACTGGAACATGAAGGATAGTAATGTGAACTAAGGATGGAAATGAGTGGAAACCAGATTGTGGAGGGCCTTCAATGCCAGGCTAAGGAGTTTGTATTTTATTCAATAGGCAATAAAGAGTTACTGAAAGTTTTAAAGGGGAGAGGGAGGAGTTCTAGGTGATTGCCTGTTGAGAGGAGGGGAAGCAAAGGCTGAGATAATAGAGTAGGAGATCCTAGGCTGCTGCAATTAGAATGATCAAAGTCTAAGGTCACAGGGTATCTAGGATTCAGAAGTAAATGGGGTCCAGGATGAGAGGAAGTCAGCAAAGACATACTCCATATATAACCCACATTAAATTGCTTACTCTCTTAGGGAGGGGAAAGATAAGGGAGGGGGGAGAAAATTTGGAACTCAAAAATTGTTTTTAAATGAATGTTAAAATTTGTCTTTACATGAAACTGGAAAAAATATTATTTAAAAAAGATATACTTCATCCAAGTGCCCCTTTTACTTTATTGTATAGCTCTCTGTATGCCTTACTTAAATATAGATATTTTTTAAAATCCAGTGGTACTGCCAAGATAATTTCATCCATTTCCCCTCCTGTGGAATCCCTGAGAAACAGGCCTTTTGGAGTGTGCTTGCTGAGGATCAAAGATTAACCTTATTGGTAATAACAAATCCAGAGTCTAAACATGGATATAAAGAAAGATATAGTGGGGCAGCTAGGTGGCACAGTGAATAGAGCTCTGGCCTTGGAGTCAGGAGGATCTGAGTTCAAATCCAGCCTCAGACACTTAATACTTACTAGCTGTGTGACCCTGGGCAAGTCACTTAACCCCTGTCGCCTCACCAAAAAGCAAAAAATTAAAAAATTAAAAAAAGAAAGAAAGATATATTGGCATTCTTGGGGTAAGGGAGACCAGAAAAAATAGGAGTTTCAATCTTTGCCTTCTGATGCTCATCAGGACAAATCATCATTGACCAACTGATGCCTGAAATAGACTTCTCTTAGGAATGGGGGAAACAGCTTCCAGAAGAGGAGGGGATGCTTTCCCATATCACTGGCACCAAGCTAGGATTTCTATGGCACCCGAAGATAATTCCCAATCAGCTTGCTTTCTCATTAAAATACCGTATTCTGTAGCTATGTTCAGTTTGTTGTAGAGCACTTTAGGCCAGATGTACTTCTGACTTTTCTAGTGTCCCTACATGTCAAATCAAATGAAAACAAACAAGTATTTAATTATTGCCTACCACTGTGCTAGGCACCCAGGGGTATACAAAGCAATTAAATCAAGATATGTTATATTTATAAACCACCTTAGAGGCAAGCAGTACAAAGATTATTATCCCAATTTTACAAATGGAGAAACTAAGGTGTAGCAAGATCAGTTAACTTACCCAGGGTCACATAGGTTGTAAAGTGGCAGAACTGAAACTGGAATCTAGGTCTTCCACTCTAAGCTCAAAGCTGTCCCTGATAATAAAAGATTTAAATGGTAGGTCAGGAAAATCAGGGAAGAGGTGTCACAAGACTGCACATAATTAGCTGCCAAATGAATAATTTGCATAATTATTGCTAGGCTAGAGTTGTCAGAAAAGGCTTTATTCATATTTTATAAGTAAATATATACAAAATACTACCAGAACCTGTGAATTTCTTTCTCATTATTAGTGTACCTATTGGACAGCACCACAGTTTACACAAACCAGGGTCAATCTGATTCCACTTTCAATAACTAACCTTTGGTTCATGCCCTCACTCAAGTTTTCCCTGGGAAAATCCAGAATTTTACTCATTTTGTACCTACCCAGGATCCTGCCTGGCAACATTGGAAGTTGGCTTTCATCGAAGTCTCCAAAGCAAAAGCAAAACAAAAAAAATTCCTTTAACCTCCATGAAAGTACTCAGGCTAACAAAGCATTAACTATAGGACAAGTTTTATCTTGTCCAACAAAAACACAGAAAGCTCACTCAAACAGGCTCAGTCAAAACAAATCTCCTTCCCTTTCCTCCTCCGTAGAAGTCCCTTAGATTTTTAGTCTATCCTGAGGTAGGGCTCCTTACAAGATTTAAAACTCAAGGTTGATATTAAATCAACCAGCTATACTCCTGTAGAGAAGCCTACCTCCCAGGAACCCAAGTAATCTTCACTTATAGTACTACCATTGATGGGCTCCTCTTATGAGGAAAAGGCACTGGGGGTTGTTAGAAAGTTGATGATTTCTCTTCCCTGGACCTGCACAGTTCATGTACCTGGAAGTATCAGTGAAAGGCAAGGTCTAGGGTCACTACTCCACATCATGGCTCTGACCCTTGCTGTTCTTTGGTTATGGTTCCTCTTTATTCAGGGAATTCTTTTGCTACATCCAGGAACTTTTCATTTGAGCCTCTTCATATGCTGCCAGTGCCACGATGCATACCCTTCCCTGGTACATATTGTTCCCTGGTGAGCCAAGTGGTTTGAAAGAACACATGGACTACATGGAGATGTAGACCAAGAATTGAGATCAGCTTACTCTCTCTAACCTCCCAATTCCTGTTTGCTTGGTTTATCTTACTACTCAAGAGTAGGTAGTAGTAGTAGTAGTAGTAGTAGAGAGAGAGAGAGAGAGAAAGAGAGAGAGAGAGAGAGAGGGAGGAGAAGAAGAAGAAGAAGAAGAAGAAGTAGTAGTAGTAGTAGTAGTAGCAGCAGCAGCAGTAGTAAGTCTTATAGAAACTACTGTCTAGAAATTTATAAAAGTCCCTGGAAAAGCAGAGGACCATCAGAGAAGAAACATGGAGTATACTGATTATTTATGGATATAGTTCCATTTTTCTTTTGGTGTGGTTAAATAAAGCTAGGCCTGTATTGGATGTTTTGTTAGTCTAAGGGCTCACAAGGAAGCAGAGGACCTTTTGCTATAGAAACCCAGACAGAAGCCAAATATTCTGATATTTCAGGGGAGACTTTGGGTGAGGGAATAAACAAAAGAAAAGACTATTGAGAAGCCACAAAGACTAACATGGTCCCTGTAAATGAACCATAGGATGTAGGGTACAGTATAAAGATTGCTGGGTATAGGGGCAGCTAGATTGCACAATGGATAGAACACTGGGCTTGGAGTCAAGAGGACCTGAGTTCAAATCGTCCTCAGATACTTACTAGCTGTGTGATCCTGGGCAAATCACTTAACCCTGACTGCCTCAAAAGAAAAAGGAAAAAAGAATGCTGGGTTTGGAGCTGAAGGACTCATCTTCACACCTTGGTTTTGTCACTTGCTACCTTTGTGACCTTGGGTAAATCACTGTACTTTTCTGGGCATCAGTGTCCTCTCCTGTAAAAGAGGGAGTTGGATTAAACTTCCAAGGTCCCTAATAGCATTAATTCCATGATCCTAAGCTCAAGAGTTTTGGTTCTGGGCCATGGGTTAGACTAAGCATCTATTCTCTGAGCCTGTTTCCTCTTTCCTTTCTTCTTCTGCCTGCCTTCCCCCTCCTCCAGCTTTCTGAATCACTCTGACCTTCTGATTTTTACTGAAGCATTACTCTTTTGCCTTCTCTACCGAGAACTATTTACTGCCGTTTTCTTGGTTGCTGAAATGTTTTTGTTTGTCACTTGTGTTTGTCTTCCCAAGAATTATTGCTGCCCACTGAGAAGGAGAAACCGAGAGTGCCTTCTCAGGGACTATAGCAAATGTCTGAATTCAATTTCTTGACCCCAGACTTTTTGGGGAAACAAATTGCCTTGTGTGACACACACATTCTGTGTCTCTCACACCACCACCATCACCCCCTCCCCACTCTCGCCCCCCAGTAATGAGTTTCTGTTATGGTAGTTAGAAGATCAAGGGAAGATGTAGGAAAATTGGAACACTAATGCATTGTTGGTGGGATTGTGAAATGATCCAACCATTCTGGAGAGCAATTTAGAAATACCCTTTGACCCAACAATACCACTTCTAGGCCTGTATCCCAAAGAGATCATAAAAATGGGAAAAGGACCCACATGTACAAAAATATTTATAGCAGCTCTCAATTGGAGAATGGCTGAACAAGTTGTGGTATATGAATGTAATGGAATACTATTGTGCTATAAGAAATGATGAGCAGGCAGACTTCAGAAAAACCTGGAAAGACTTGTATGGAGTGATGCTGAGCAAAGTGAGCAGAATGAGGAGAACATTGTACACAGTAATAGCCACAATGTTCGATGGCTGACTTTGATACACTTGGCTCTTCTCAGCAATGCAAGGATCTAAGACAACTCCAAAAAGATTCATGATGGAAAAAGCTATCCACATCCAGTGAAAAAACTATGGACTCTGAATGCAGGTGGAAGCATACTATTTGCTCTCCTTTTCCTTTGTTGTTTTGTTTTATTGCTTCATTCTTGAGGTTCCTCCCAACTGTTCTAATTGTTCTTTACATCATGACTAATAGGAAAATATGCTTAATGTGAATGTATAAGTAGAGTCTATGTCAGATTGCACACCATCTTGTGGAAGGGGGAGAAAATGTAAAACTGAAAATCTTATGGAAGTGAATGTTGAAAACTAAAAATAAATAAATTTATTATTTTTTAAAAATTCAAAAAACAAAATTCAAAAGAAGAAAAAGTTGAAGAAGATGATGATGATCATCAAGGGAAACTCAGTAGTACACTGGATAGAGCACTGAGCCTGAAGTCAGGAAGTTCTAATTTTAAATCTGGCCTCAGACCCTGGGCAAATCACTTAACCCAAGCCTCTTTGCCTCAGTTTCCTCCTCTGTAAAATGAGCTGGAGAAGGAAATGGAAAACCATTCCAGTATCTTTGCCAAGAAAACCCCAAACGGGATACTGAAGAGTCTGAAACAACTGAATGACAGACAAGCTAGAAAAGCCAGAGGGTCTCTACCCTTTTTTTGTCCCATTATTTGATATATAGAATGGTAGGGCTGGAAGGGCCTTAATCACTTAGTACAAATCCTTCATTTTACAGGTAAGGACGCTGCAGCGCAGAAAGTAAAAGTAAATTGCCCAGGATCATATAGCTAGTACACGATCATATAATAATTTGTGATAATGTTCCCCTGGCTACCTTACTGCACCTGGCCAATAAAGAATTTATTTTAGGTATTTGCTCATCCTAGTATCTCCTGGAAAAGAAATAATTGGCATCTGCATTTCCTCATAACCCCAGTAGACAGCCCACAAGGGAAAGCATAAGGCTGGGTTCTAGAAACCCACTGGTAAAAAAAGAAGCACAGTGAGAGGCTTTACAGGAACCCTAACAGGGACTGGGAAGATGTTCTGTAATTGCCCTCCAAATGAGCATGTAGATTGGGCTCCTAGGCACTTTTGTTTCTTTTCTTTTCTTTTTTTTTGTGAGGCAGTTGGGATTAAGTGACTTGCCCAGGGTCACACAGCTAGTAAGCGTTATGTGTCTGAGGCCAAATTTGAACTCAGGTCCTCCTGATTCCAAGACCGGTGCTCTATCCACTGTGCCACCTTGCTGCCCCTTCTAAGCACTTTTGGTCCTGCACTGTTCCACCTCCATGCAATCCCTGAAGGTGACACTTCATGATTGGAACCCCACCTCTCCTGACCTTTGTCTTCCTTCAAGGCAGAGTCCAACTGCCAGCTTCTCCACAAGTAACTGCACAAACTCCCCACCAGCTGAAAGTGATCTCTCACTCTGAATTTTCTTAAAATATTTTGTCTAGATCCCTTCTTTATTCTTATCACATTCTATGTTTTATCATATTTATGTCTATGTCTTTTTTTTCAGCCAAAAACAAGGTTTATTAAAGATCAGCCATACTGGCCAGACTCTTAAGGAATCTAAGCATTTGTGTCGCTAATGCAAGTGGGCCAGATCTTAAGAATCTGGGCACCTTAATGGAGACAAGATGAATTTTCATATATATATGTGTGTGTGTGTGTGTGTGTGTGTGTGTGTGTGTGTGTGTGTGTGTGTGTGTGTGTGTATTATATATAATGTGTGTGTATATATATATGTATATATGTCTTATCCTTCCTACTAGACTGTAAGTTCCTTGAGGACAGGACTATCTTTACATGACAGTCATTTCTCTAGGGAAAAAGCCTCACACTCACCCTCCAAATTGAACTCTCCCTTTTAACAACAACAACAAAAAAATACCCCACAAACATCCTATATGATGACCTCACTGAAAATGTGTACAACATTCTGCCTACTCTGTGTAGTGAGAAAAAAAGCATTTCTTCATTATGTGTTCTTCCCGGACCTACACTGATTTTTTTTTAATCACTCAGAGATGAGGAGTAGTTATGAATTTTTTAATGTGTAGTTATGGCTAAATCAAGCTAATTTTTTTTAATCAATTTCTTTTATTTTTGCTTGGCAATCAGGGTTAAGTGACTAGGGTCACACAGCTAGTAAGTGTTGTGTGTTATGTGTCTGAGACCAGATTTGAACTCAGATCCTCCTGACTCTAAGGCCAGAGTTCTATCCACTGCGCCACCTAGCTG